CACAGCACCACTTCCGGCTTTTTTCTTTTTGCTTATGTGGTTCTGAGGAATCGAACGCAGGGCCTCAGGCATGCAAGGCAAGCACTCTACCACTGAGCCACCTTCCCAGCCTCCCCCCTTTTTTTTTTGCTGTCCCCGAGTCTCTTTGTGTTCAAGGCTAGTCCTCTACCACTTGAGACACAGTGCCACTTCCAGCCTTTTCTGAGTGTTTTATTGGAGATAAGAGTCTTATGTACTTTTCTGCTCAGCTGGCTTCAAACCACGATCCTCACATCTCAGCCTCCTGATAGCTACAATTATAGGAGTGAGCCACCAGTGCCTGGCTATAGTACTTTTTTCTTTTAAACACTATGTACACAATTTTCCTGCAGTTTTGAGTATAACATGTGCTGTCCATGTCAAAAGAGACTAGGGATGCTGCGGTTGGATTTTAGGATATGAACAGAATGTATAAACTACTTTACATAATTGGGTTTGGGTTTGAAAGCTTAGGCTGAAGGACTGTTTTATTGACCAGAGTCTTTCAAGGCTTGAGTATAGCTGATGAGTAGAGAGGTTCTGGTGAGACCCAGCATAATAGTAAACTTTGCTTTGTAACTTTGTTATATCTTCTAAATGTGTGGGCTTGGAATGGATTTCCATTATAAGCTGGACTCAGATCAGCAACTTGTTTTTTCTTTCCAAGGTTAGCAAAACGGGAGAAGAAAGGGTACAAAACCCAACATTATTTGGAATGTAAAATTTAATACAAGCCAGGTGCTGGTGGCTGTAATCCTAGCTACTTAGGAGGCTGAGATCTGAGGATCATGGCTCAAAGCCAGCCCAGGCAAGCAAGTCTGTGAGACTCTTATCTCCAATTAATCACAGAAAAAGCCAGAAGTAGCACTGTGGCTCAAGTGGTAGAGAGCTAGCCTGAGCTGAAGAGCTGAGGGACAGTGCCTAGGCCCAGAATTTAAGCCTCATGACCGAACCCCGCCTCCCCCTCCCCCCACCACCTCCCCCCACCCCGAAGAAAAGAAATACAATATTTGCCCTTATTGAGCAAGGTAGAAAGGCAATCAGAGAGAAAGATAGGTAAATGCTGAAACAATTCAAAATGTACCCTTGAGTTAAAAGGCTGAAGTTTGCTTGTCTGAGCTGATATGTCAGTCATCTCTGAGAATGTTTGAAGTAGCATAGTAAAGTTTGAAGGGGTATAACTGGGTGGTAGACTACTAGCCTGGATTCCATTCCTCACACTGCTAAATAAATAAAGTAGTAGTATTCAACTACATTCAGCTTAGAAGGATCAGATGATTAAACTTCTCTTCTTTCACCCTGCCCCTGCCTTTTTTTTTTTTAATGTGTTAGAGTGGTTTGAGAAAGGAGTAGTAATCAAAGGTAACTGAGTTAATCAACTTTGGGGGGTCATAGGGAAGATGGTTAACTGTTATACACTCACGGGCATTTCCAGACTAAGTATTAAACACTGAATCTTTTTTTGAGAATTTCTTGTATAAATAAACCTTTATCTTTAGTTCTCTTTTAGACCATGGCAACTTATCTGGAGTTCATTCAGCAGAATGAAGAACGTGATGGCGTGCGCTTCAGCTGGAATGTGTGGCCTTCCAGCCGTCTTGAGGCCACAAGAATGGTTGTCCCCCTGGCTTGTCTCCTCACTCCATTAAAAGAGCGTGCAGACCTGCCTCCAGTACAGTATGAACCTGTGCTTTGCAGCAGGCCAACTTGCAAGGCTGTTCTCAATCCTCTTTGGTATGAATTCTTTTAAAAACTGGTCCAAAGACAAAAACAAAATTAATCACATCTTTATGTGATTCTTGTGAAAGTAATTTAACTTGGAACATTGTTAAATTTAGATGCTGAGATTCTTTGGTAATGAATGCTCATAGAAATTTCCATGGAAAAAAAAAAAAAGGAAGAAAGAAATCTCCATGGCCTAGGTGGGTATGGGTGGCTTAAACCTGCCATTCTAGCCACTTGGGAGGTTGAAGTTGGGAGGATTGAAGTTTGAAGCCAACCCAGGCAGAAAAGTTTGAGAGATCTCAATTGAGAAGTGGCCTGTAACTGTTATCCTCTTTACAGTGGGAAGCTTCATGTAGGTAGAGAGAAGACTAGATGCTTCCCTGGGTAGGATTTGAGTGTCTATCTTAGAAATAATCACTGCCAAAAAAGAGCTAGAAGTAGGCTCAGTAGTAGAGCCCAACTTGGCAAGAGCCAGGCTTTGAATACAAACCCCAGTAATGCAGAAAGAAAAAAAGAAATCTCCTTGGCCTGATAAACAGATAAAATTGAAATCTTGGAATCTTATGGAGAGGGTAGAAAGGAGGATTTGGAAATCCCTTTTTTTTTGGTCCCAGTTCTGGAGTTTGAACTTAGGGCATTGTCCATGTGCTCAAGGCTAGCACTATAACACCCGAGCCATAGCTCCACTTCTGGCTCTTTGGTGGTTAATTGGAAATAAGAGGCTCATGGACTTTCCTGCCTGGGCTGGCTTTAGACTGTGATCCTTAGCTCTCAGCCTCATGAGTAGCAGTACTACAGGCATGAGCCACTGGGGCCTGGCCTGGGAGAAGTTTTAAACAAGTACAAAGTGTCATAAAATTTTTATATGAGGGGCTGGGAAGGTAGCTCAGTGGTAGAGTGCATGCCTTGCAAGCATGAGCCCCTAGGTTTGATTCCTCAGCACCACATAAACAGAAAAAGCCGGAAGTGGCACTGTGGCTCCAGTGGTAGAGCGCTGGCCTTGAGCTGAAGAGCTGAGGGACAGCGGCCAGACCCAGAGTTCAGGCCCCATGACCGGCAAAAAATAAATAAATAATAAAATAAAATTTTTATATGGGGGCTGGGAAGATAGCTCAGTGGTAGAGTGCTTGCCTTGCATGCATGAGGCTCTGGGTTTGATTCCTCAGGACTACATAAGCAGAAAAAGCTGGAAGTGGTGCTGTGGCTCAAGTGGTAGAGCGCCAGCCTTGAGCTGAAGAACTGAGGGACAGTGCCCAGGCCCAGAGTTCAGGCCCCATAACCGACAGAAAAAAAATTTGTATGAGAAAACATTTTTTCATCTTCTTTGCTTTTATTTTTTGTAACTGTTTAAAATGCTGCTGCTCTAGTTTTAAAATGGTAGCCACTAGTTGCTAATTTTTCCTTAAACCAGGGTTTGAACTCAGAGCTTCACACTTGCTCACCGATTGACACTCAACCACTTGAGTCATGCCCACTTTTTGCTGGTTGTTTTGGAAATAAAGTCTCACAAATAATTCTGCTAAGGCTGACTTTGAACTGTGATCCTATGGATCTCAGCTTCCTATCCATAATAGCTGTAATTACAGCAGTACTTCAGTTGCTTATTTATTTTCTAAAATGTAGAAAGCAGAAAAAGGTGACAGAAGCATTACATTGAATCAAGTCTCAGAAGTGTATCTACCCAAACACATACCTTCAAATGTCAACTTTTTTTTATTTTAACTGGGCCAAGTAAGGGAAAAGTCTTAAGAGGTTTTCACATATGTGAAATGTCCTTTTATTATTGAAATTTAGTATTTTTACATAGCTGAACCAATAAATTGTTCAAAAGGAAATAATATTTGTGAGAATCACATTTTTTAAAATCTAGGAAACTGGAAAAAACAAAAACTGATTTACTAATTCTTCATTGCAGCTGTTTGAGGGAAACGTGGTGTACTTAATGAACAGAATTCTACCTTCAGTGCAGTTTTACAAAACTTTATGTATTCATGTTCACACTTATATAAAGATATGCCTATGTAAAGTATTGAACTTGAAATTTACAGTTGAATGTTTTCTGCCTTAAAAATGGCACCTCATTGAGATGTTTATCTTTTTTACAGTCAGGTTGATTTTCGAGCAAAACTTTGGGCTTGTAATTTCTGTTTCCAAAGAAATCAGGTATGTGAATTATTTCTAAATATTGTAGCTGTCCTACTCTGAAAAAATAGTGTGATTTTGAACTAATAGCTAGACTGGCAATCACCAGTTTTTGGTAAACACAAGAAAATAGCTTTTGTTAAGCACAGTGTTGAATATTAAACATTTGTGAATTTTCTGTTGAATGATTTTATTATGGAGTCTTTCTCATTTACTGTGGAAGGGACACAGAATTCTTTATAAGTTTTCTGTAGGAAGTGAATCTGTTACTGTAAGAAAATAAATCATTTCACTTGACTTCAGTGAATTGAATGGTAAATTGAACAAGATATTAGAACTGAATATTCTAATTAGGTTGTGAAATTACTGAATTTTCATTTTTCTATCTAACTTTGGAATCCACATATGAGCTGCTTTTGATATAAAAAAATTAAAACTATCAAAGTAAAAGCTCACAAATGACAAAAGAGATCTCTTTTTGCATCTCTCCCTCACCCCTCCCGCCTCTTACTTTCTCCTCTCTTCCTTGTTCCTTTTCCTTTCTTTTTTTTTTTTTTCCTCCCTCTTTTTTTTAAAAAAAGATTTAACTTTGAACTCAGGAGCTTTTTTTTTTTGGTTGGTTGTGGGCCTGAACTCTGGGCCTGGGCGCTGTCCCTCGGCTCTTCAGCTCTAGGCTAGCGCTCTACCACTTGAGCCACAGTACCACTTCCAGCCTTTTCTGCTTATGTGGTGCTGAGGAATTGAACCCAGAGCCTGATGCATGAAAGGCAAGCACTCTACCTCTGAGCCACCTTCCCAGCACAAACTCAGGACCTTTTGCCTCTTAAGTTGTATATACTTTCTCTCCAATAGATACCTTTGTCCAAAACTTTTCTTTAAAATTCATTGTGAGACAAAAGTGTTTTAAGACTGGATTTCGTTGTCCTTGTATAATACATTTACCAAAAGTCACTGAACTGTACGTTAAAAATGGGTAAATTTTATGGTACAGAAGCTTTATCTAAAGAAAGCTGTTGTAGAGAACATAGCACAATTGTTCTGATAGCTCTTATGCTATTGATAACATGCATTTATTCATGTATTTGATCATGTATTGTGATTTATTTCATCTTCACATCTAGCCCAGTAATGAAAAGAGAAGTAATATAGGTTTAGAAACTATAAACGGTTTATCTTCAGGAATATCTCCTTGAGTTGCTAGGGTACAGCTCAATGATAGAATGCATGCTTAACATGTGTGAGGCTCTGGGTTCAGCCATAAGAAACATTTGCCTAAATGAAGATTCAGAAGTATATATAAATCTTAAAAACATTTTTGTGCCTTGTTCAGCCTTGAAATCTACTAATATAATTCATTATAAAATTATGAGTCAGGGTTGCATGCTAGTTGAGCCAGGACTTATAGAGCTAAAGGCATGACTCAAGTGATAAAGTACCTGCCTAGCAAGCAAGAGGCCATGAATTCAAACCCTAAAACTGACCACCCCCACCAAAAAAAGTCCTTAAATTGTATATATGGAATCTCAACTGTGCTTAAGTTGAAAAATTCTGAAAGGACATAGTCTAAGATGTTAACAATAGCTGTTTCTAAGTAAGAGAATTTTGAGATCTTTTCTTTCCATATTCTTATATTTTCATCAACTTTTCTATTACTTTATTAATAATGGCCAAAGTAATTCTAAATAAAGGCTCTAGTCTTCTACAAAAACTTTTCACTGATGCCGGGCGCCGGTGGCTCACGCCTGTAATCCTAGTTACTCAGGAGGCTGAGATCCTCATGAGGATCATGGTTCAAAGCCAGCCCGGGCAGGAAAGTCCATGAAACTCTTATCTCCAGTAAACCACCAGAAAACAGAAGTGGCACTGTAGCTCAAGTGGTAGAGTACTAGCCTTGAGCTGAAGAGCTGAGGGACAGCGCTCAAGCCTAGAGTTCAAGCCCCACGACCAACAAAAAAAAAAAAGAAAAAAAAAACTGTCACTGAGAAATATAAATCTAGGCCTTTAATTTGCAGAACAAAGCTTTTTTAAATTGGTTTATATCATTCATATAGGAGTTATATGATTTCAGTTTGTGTGTTTTTGAACATATTAGGAGTTTGTGTGCATGTGTGTATGTATGTGTGTGTGCACGTACTTATATCATTTATATAGGAATTATATGATTTCTGTGTGTTTTTGAGCATATTAGAAGTGTGTGTGTGTGCATGTGTATGTGTGTGTGTGTGTGTGCGTGCGTGTGTACGTACACGCATGTATGTGTGTGCATGCCAGTACTGGGTCTGAACTCAGGCTTTGGACACTGTCCCTTAGCTTTTTCACTCAAGGCTTGGTGCTCTGCCACTTGCGCCATAGTTCCACTTCTGGCTTTTTGGTGGTTAATTGAAGATAGGGGTCTTACATACTGCTCAGTGGTGGTGGCTCACACCTGTAATCCTAGCTATTCATGAGGCTGAGATCTGAGGACCATGGTTCAAAGCTAGCCCTGGTGGGAAAGTCCATGAGATTCTGATTATCAATTCACCACCAAAAAGATAGAAGTAAAGCTGTGACTCAAGTGGCAGAACATTAGCCTGAAGCACATAAAGCTCAGGGATAATGCTCTGGCCCTGAGATCAAGCCCTAGACCTGGCATTAAACAAACAAACAAACAAATCTACCTCAGGTACTTTCCTGCCAGGGCTGGCTTCAAACAACAATCCTCAAATCTCAGCCTCCCGAGTAATTAGGATTAGTTACAGGTGTGAGGCCAATGATGCCTCACACCTTATGATGAGGCTGGCCTTAAAATTGAAACTTACTCTCTCTGCCTTCCAAAGTGCTGGAATTATAGGTATGTGGTACTATATCTGGCTTAGCATTTTTAACATAACTTAAAAGTATTTGTTTGTGGCTGGGCACCGGTGGCTCACATCTGTAATCCTAGCTACTCAGGAGGCTGAGATCTGAGGATCGCGGTTCAAAGCCAGCCTGGGCAGGAGAGACCGTGAGACTCCTATCTCCAATAAACCACTAGAAAACTGGAAGTGGTGCTGTAGCTCAAGTGGTAGAGCGCTCGCCTTGAGCGGAAGAGCTGAGGGACAGCGCCCA